GCATTAATTGGATCTCAATGTTGTATCTATATAAATGACAGTTCCCATGAGATACATCAAAAGGTGCTTGAGGAAGAAACACATGCCCGCAAAGGAGCCCAAAGTGCATACAACCCCTCTGAAAGTGACTGGTTACAAAACTTGTTCTCTGGATGGGGATTATCACCATGGTTTAGTAGTTTATTTAGTTCATTGCTAAAAAGTCTTTTACCTGTGGTTATTATGCTTCTGATAGCCTGCTGTGTTTTTACTTGTATTTGGAATTGTTTACAGAATATGATTATGAAATCTGTACAAGGGTATCGAAGATTCCTCATACAAGACCAACCATAGATGGACAGGGATGCCCAAAAAAAACCAAAGGGAGGACTGTTATAGAAGAAATTTGATTAACTATATTCTTCTCTCTGAATAGTCTCATTTAGCATTAGTAGCTTAGCACTAGTAGCTAAAGTACTTGAAGCCTTAGGCTGCAAGAGCTGACCGAGAGTAAACTTTTTGATAAAACTAATGCTGCTAACACAGAACTAGCTGAATCCGGCAGATGCGAGCGGAATGAAGATAAGGACCAAGGAAACAATTCCAAGAGAATGAGGTAACTTCAAAAGAAGGCCAGCCCAGCAACAGTGAAAACCTGTAAGAAATCAAGAGACCACGAACCAGAATTAAGTGATTGGACTTGGGGATTGGGCGATGGGTGGCATGGGTATAATTGAAGGGCGTGATCTCGAGTAGGGGTCCCTCTCTGGAGGCACCCAGCTTGAGCTATAACCTGAGAACTAATAGAAGAGGAATTGGAAACTTTCACTCGGACTTTACATTAATCAGCAGGATCCTAGGGTCAGACTCTGTTATGGTGGCTGGCGTACATAAATCCGTAACACCTGTCAGTACCAAAATTGCTTATACTGGTATAGGTATTCCCATGAAGAAAGGAAAATATACTCTACTCCTATAAAAGCATCCACACTACTGATTAGACTGATATAATTACATCAATAATAAAAGAACATCAGATCTCTAATTAGCCCAGTGGTATCAAAGTCCGTGTGTGCTCTGCAGTGCCCTTTCTCCTTTTCCAACCCAGTATTTGGGTCTGTGTTCTGTAACTGCAGCCCTCACCTACAGAAATTTGGCAATTTGTACCTTCTAAAGTTGGTTGCTCTGGAAACAGGCTACAATTTCTTCCAGCTTCACAGCAAGAGCTGCTGAACTCCAAGACGAACAAGCATAGCAGCTCTGTTCACTTGCTTCCCCAGGGCGGTGAACTTGCCTCAGGAGTCACAGATTATTTTCCTCTTTCTTATCCACTCTGTGAGGCCAACCCCATGAGGAGCTTTCGATTGACTTGAGAACAACACTGAAGCCCTTTTCACAAAAGGAAGCTGGCATAGGAAATCTCACACGGGCCATAAGAATATCAGGCATCTGCCTGAGTATCAGAAGGGAGAGCGGAAGGGATCTATAGAGGACCATTTCCTAAAAGAGAGCCCTTCTGTCTGGTGCCTCCCTTCTTCTCCCCAGTCCTATGACCTCTGACAACATCCTACTTTTCTGCAAGGACTATTGGATATTACTTACGTATTGTTGCTTGCTACATTGTCAGTCTCTTACTAGTCACTCAACTCATGGTCTTCTGAGCTCATTCCTTCACCAAGCCATTCATCAAACAATCTGGAATCACTCAGGTGCCCAAAACGCACCCTGCTAGCACAGGACAAAGCTGTGGGTGTTTTAACACTCAAGAAAGCACAGTGTTTCTTACTGGATTTTCCCCCTGCGATCAGGCAGTATGAGGTGAGACCATCAGAAAGTGTCCTTTTCCTTCCTTCTTTCCCCTTTAGAGACCTGGATACACAGGCTGGCTGCGGTAAGCGTGCGGTACCCGGCCCTTTCTCAGGTGCAAATGACCTCCCCTGTGCCACACGGCCAGCCGTGCGCCTGGGCTGCTGGCACGTGGCAAGGCAGCACTCCAGCTTCTGCTTTTCTAACTTGCCGTTTTATTAACACACAGGGGAGGAGAGAAAGAAAAGGCTAGGGGAATGTCAGGAAACTTTGCTGTCCAATATGCGAAATCCTGTCCAAACTATCTCCTTAGCAGGTCTTAAACTACAGTGACTCTTCCTTCTCTTGATAGGCGTATGACAGTTCAGGAACTCTGCAGCAAGGATGAGGTCAACTGGACCCATGTATTCACAAAATAAAAATGAAGGCTCAGAAGGCATTAGGGTTTCAGTTTTCTGTTACGTACTATTGGTTGCTCTGTATCACCTTGGCCCCTACCAACACTCTGCTGAACTCATGCTTTTATTAATCTACTTGAAAGTTGCTGTTACAGCCAAAACAGACTTAATTAGTCCTTTAATTAATGGGTATTTTAGCCGACATAAGCTGCCAGAAAATACAAGATTACTTGTTTGAGGCCTTAGTGTATCTGCTTTGCCAGTAGAGCATTACAGAAACCATTTGATATTCCGTATTTCATTAAATACTAAAATTCAATTGCCCATACACACTTCATGTAAAACTCTTCATGCCTAATTTGCACCCGTGATACACATGCAAATAATCAGAGCTGGAGAAAACATTACCCTTTGCCTTCCTCTCTTCCTGCAGTAACCTAGTTCACATTGGAGGAGGGCAGCTAAGTGGTAATATTTGCCAGTTACTCTTTAATAATTCATTTAAATTAGCTAAAGCAAGTATAAGGTTTTTCCTCCAGGTAGAAGACTCAGGGTATCCTGGTAAGATAAGGACAACGCAAAGCCGGCAGCCACAACAGAGCTTTCAGAGCGCTACACAAGTATTCTTTTTAAGAAACTGAGATATTTTTAGGGTCCAGGCTCAGCTTGAGCTCCTGTGGGGGTGCAGCATCAGTAGATTAAGCATTGAGAATTCATCCTGAGCACACGAGAGGCTGCAGGAGAAAACCAGCAGCAGAGCATGCCACAGGCGAGCATGGAGAAGGCGAGGAGGAAGGCACAAGTGTCATGCTCCATCTTGGGGAGACTTAGTAAGACAGTGGGGTGGGAATGTGAGAACTAGGTTGTTAAACACAGGGAAACAGAAGCAGCTGTAAAACTTCACAGCAATGATGGAGAGGAAATAACAATACTCTCAGTCACCCAATTCAGTTCTCCTCATGATCATGTGGAATTAGAAATTGCCAAAACTGTCCTACCTCATGCAGATTTTCAGACAGGGGAGGAGATGCAGAGCTCTAGTGTCAGGATCCAGCCTTGATTTTGCTGATGAATCGTAAGCAGAAATGTATCACAAGATACAGAAAAGGCCCACCTGGTCTTTAATCCCTTCAGGGATGCAAAACCAATGCAAGTTTCCTTTCCATAATGTAAGAATGTGATTAAAATGGCACAGAAAAGGAATGAGGGTATGCTTGCCTTTACTCAATTCCTTTTTTCAGCTTTCCTTACGAGGAACTTTCTTTAAATTCTTGGTTTTATTTTTCAGATGTTACATTAACTCCAAAGATGTGTCATCTTCTCAAATGGGTGAGGAAACAGAACCTTACCATCTCTTCCTCGCCAAAACTTTCCCCCTCTACTCCAAAGGGCATGAGACAAACAGTGTGTTGCAAGGAAAGCTTCATACATAATTGATAAGCTCTGCATGCTTATGATTAAATCGTCACAGCTTTTCTTCAGTAATGCAAGGAAGCAAGAGAAAAGCCCTCCAGAGATGAAGGAGTAGGGGGGGCCTTCAATTATTTACACAGATGAAAGAGTAAGGAGTTGGCTATATTCACACAACCAGCAAGTGGTTGGAGGGGGCATTCCACTCCATAGACAAATTTCTCTTTAACTAGCTGATGCCTCCTATCACAGCAGTGACACAGGTTTTATACTATATGAGACACAAAACCTCAGCCCAATCTAGAGCTGGCAGGTGAAGGTTCCCTGTGCTCCCACCAATACAGATCCCACTGCTATCTTTTGGGTACTTTTCCCCTCTCCTTGCATGCTAAGTGCAAAGGACATCAGCTATGAGGAATTTAGAAATCTCAAGTGATTGAAAACACAGGCTTTGGGTTTCATAGCAGGTACAATTTAACAAAAATTCAAAATATATTTTTCTGACATATTTTTAAAAACAGTTTTAAAAATTATTTGCCAAGGTCAGGTTAAAATTATTTAAAAGCATAATTACCAGGAAGCACTCTTCAAAAGTGACATTTCACATCATCATCATCATTTTCATTAAAGCAAAGGTCATGGTTCTAACATGTTTTCAAATACAAATTTAACTCCAAGTATTAATTAAGAAACATTGAGTAGCAACACTTATTCCTCAAAAATCTACACATCTCCAAAGGTCAGTCCTGGCCCATTGCCACCTTGACTTTTTTTGCACTTTCTAAAACACATTAACACAGGACTAAGGGAATTAGACCCAGTGGAGAACAGAACAGAGAAATATTATCAGAGGAGAAAGAAAATTGGGAGAGATTTCCATAACCAGAATTGTAGACCTGCTGGTAACACTACCTATATTTGCTGCCTTTCTCACTGAACCGGCTGCAGTAAAAGCCAAACCTTCCATTACCACCAGCTCAGATTGTACTCAGACTGTATACAGCCTACCTTCCCCTTTCCTTTCCTTTAAGGACATTAAAATTCAAATCAAGTTTTATCATTAGAGTATGACCACAGTGAATTTTACCGAGTATCTTTTACCCTTTTACTCACAACAAGGAGTAATAAACAGAACTATTTCAAAACTAATTAATTTCTATTAATACAGAGTAAGAAAAAATAAGTAAGAACATAAGGAAACAAGATCCAAGACAAGATTCAACAGTAACTAACCACATGTTAACAGAGCCCTTTAAATCCACATTTTGCTTTGTGCCTGCACAACCAAGACACAGGCAACATCCTCTGATACTAGGCATCTTCTAGCCAAGTTCCTCCATAAGCACTGATAGCCTTGATTAGGATTGTCCTTGCTTCCCGTCACACTGAGTGATCTTGCTCAGTTATCTAATTTAATTTTATTGATTTCTTCTTCTTGGCTTGTTGTTTGGACATGGTACCCAGTGCAGATTCTGAAATACCCACTGATGTCTGAGGCAGGAGTAGTTTTCCAGACTGTGTTGGGTACTTGGTTTTCATAAGGACTTTAAACAGTGGCTGGGACAACGTATGTTTTAGTTGTTTTTTCATCCCCTTCAGCATCTTTTGCTTCTGGCTTTCTTCTTGCTCACTAGCTTTTCTTCCTTGGGGCAGAAATCAAAGATACAGAATGTTACAACAAGAGAAGAACTTGCATTGGCCTCTTTCACCAGGCTTTTGTAGTGCTAGGGACAGATGCTAATCTCATCTTTCTCTCTCTAACAAGGTCACTCAACTCCCATACACTCTTCCAGTCATCTGGAAGATGACTTCAGATCACCCAGGCTGTCCACAAGACAACAAGATCAAGAGAAATCCCCAAGTATCATTCTGCTAAATCGTTTGGCTCTCAAGCCAGAACAGGCTCAGGAACAAAAGGAAAGGGGGCCCAGAAGATAAGGTATTAACCCAGGGCTTCTAGCTCAGGCAGAAGCTGCTTCTGTGTATTTCGTTACTTGATGCATGCCTCATTTCAGCACCGGTAAAACAGGAAGCCCTTTCCTCCTTATCCGTAAAAAACAATAAAGTGCTCAGATTTAATAACACAGGAGAAAGAAGGGCATAGAAAAGACTGGAGATAGTTAATACGGTCAGAGGCCTAAACTGGAGACAATAAATGAAATCAAAGTTGCTGTAATGTAAATTGAAAGGACATTACTAAATCCTTTTTAACAGTGTAAGAGGCATTTCATTTATGGGAGGAATGACTGAGATTTTAATTGGTCTCCAAGCAGCTATGGAAGAATTGGAGACAATACATTTTAAAGCATGAATCTGGCAAGATTCTGGGTGGCAATTACAAAGTGCTTCACTTGAGAGCCACAACTTACTTGGACTGGATGTGCTGTTTTGAAACTCATTTCAAAGCACAGCATACTCAGATTGTGTCAAAACAAGACAACAGAGTGCTAATTATCTGAGAGCACTCCTGAACAATTTGGACCGAGATGATTAGTGCTTGCTTGCAAAGTGGTTGAAAACAAGCTAGTCCAGCCGTGAATAAAGGAAAGAAAAAAATTAATCTGAACATGCTTCAAAATTAAGGCATCTGCATATTTAGCAGCTAACAGGTTAGAGACAGCTTAAGCTGAAGTGACCTCGGCAGCACCCCTATGCAGCATGCCTTCAAAGAACTGGTAGGAAATCATACCTTCAGCTCCTAAAATATGAACACAATGTGGCATTTTACAGTGCATCTAAGCAGTGCAAAGCTTCATGGCATTGAACTAATAGACACTTGTAGTTGCACAGCCCTACACGTTCTCTCAGGCACAGCCTGAAGAACATTTAATTTAAAAAAATGTAAGAAATTATTTACTTCTAACACACGACCAAAAACCTCAGCAACTTGAATATAAGTATTGGCCAGTTAGTCCACACAACTCGAGCTACATAAGGCTCACATCATTTTTGGTGTTTAGCGTTTCCTGGGTGTTCCCACACAGAGCTCCTGTTCTGCTGCGTGACTACAGGGGGGTGGGAAAGATAAGCAGAAGTGGAGAAACAGCTTTTTCTTTGACACAGAAGGGACAAGACTCAAGCAGGACATACTGGGGTGTTAGATTACCCTAAAATGTTTGCCAGAAGCTAAACAGTTCTTGTCCTATGACATGTGGACTTGTCTGCAACTTGCCAGAATTGTCACACTTCACTCCCGCAGCTCCAGCACTATCTACTGCACAGTCATCCTGAGAACACCAGCAACACCACGTACTAAGTAATGACACTCCTTTCCTTCCCCTTCTGCCCTGCAAGTTTTGAGAGCTTGTCTGCCACAGTGGGGCTTCTTCTGGACACCAGTGCTATGGGACCAACTGAGCATATCCATAAACAAGCATTTCTACTTGCCCATAAACATGTCATCATCAAGATCAATCTCAAGAGCCTCTGCAGCCTGCTGGAGCCAGGAGTTGTGTTGCTTTACCCGACTGTTGAAAAATTCTGCTTTCTCAATCTGCCGTGCCAAATTCATCCGCTCCTGTAACAAAAGGACAGTTTAGACATTATAATCAGGTTTAAATGTGGGGCACTTTAGCAAAATCAGTGTTTGAGAGCATGTATTACCATGCAACTGAGGTGCAGAGACACTTTTGTTTCCTACTGCTGCCCCAGCAGATGCCCCATGTAATAAAGACATGTCATCATTTGCTAAAGTGTTTTCCTTCTTCAGATCCGTGATAGAATCTAACTTCTAAAGCATCTCAACTACTAAACATGCCTGAATGTTAACTCCTCATTCTTTAGACGAATCATTATAAACACTTCAGAGACATCAAGGTCAAATCATGATCCAGATACCAATCATTTCCAAGTTACATAGTACATTTCCATATTTACATAGTACAGCTGGATCTTAGTCTCAGCAATAAGGGGCACCTGCTAGCTTCATCCACGTGAATAAGTAAGCTCCTGCAGGCCATCTGGAAGCAGCCACTCATGTTTTCAGAAATGCACCTGATCTTGTTCAGACACAGGACAAAATGTCTTGTCCTTCTTCCCAGCTGCACACAGGTGGAACAAAGATGTCCAGCAATCCTAACCTGACCTGCAGCCTTCCAGCTGGGCCAAGCTGTCTTAAATACCTAATTCATTATGGAAAGAAAATCTGCACTGTCAGTAAATAATAATCAACCCATCAGCAAGTTTTGCTGTGTGGAATGTGCCTGTGGTTGCACAAAACAAACCCCATGCAGGACACCCTGACCACCCCAATGGAACAATCTGGTGCTACACAGTAACAGCACCAGCCAGAACTGTCCCGATAATTAAACCACAGAGAGAGAGGAAATTAAAACTGCAGTTGACTAATAAACCAAGTCAGCCACTTCTCCTTAGATCATTACAAGAAATTTTAAATAGTTTTTCCACCTTTGTGAAACTTGAGCCCTCTTTTGGTCTCTCCTCTACCCTGATTCACTAATTCTATTCCTCTCAACTGTGAAATACCTTCAGACTTTTCCTGAACTTGAATGAAGACATGCACAACCAGGGAAGGAACATGCTAAAGCGACACACATAAAGGACCAGCAGCACTGTTAGTCCCAACTACAATGGCTTTGTGATTAAGCCCAGGGCAAAGTGTACATGAGACCTGATGATGTGAAGGGCCTAGTAGGCTGGAGTCCTGTAATTACAATTACAAAGACATCTTTTCTGGGGAGAGAAGCACTATTACGGATAGGAGAGAAGATCGTGAGATGGTGGCAGGAAAATTTAAGTGTTGAAACAATATTTATTTACCCAGTAATTGAGAGAGCATGATAAGAGCCAAGAACTACTCATCAAGAAACACAGAAGGGACCTCTGAAGAAACACACTAAAAACAACAGATTTTTTTCAGTAACCAGAAACATTTGGCAGGTGGAAGGGGGTGGGGGGAAAGATGGGGGGGGGGAATAATTGAATTCTCTTTGTTACTACCAAGAGGAGAAAAACGAGTCTGTGGAAGCATTTCTTTGATTTTCTTCCTCTTTCAGAAAGGTGCATCTCCTGAAAGATTCATCCTAAATACGCCATTTGCAGCAAGCCTGGGCTTTGAAACTTGCTGACATTATTTGCAAGGTGAGGATACCGCTGTTGCCATTGGGGTAGACCCTGGGCTCTGTCCAAGCCAACTGGATAAGCATGAACCAGAATACCTTAAGGAAGGTATCCGTTGCATTATCTGACTGCTTGCATTTTTCTCCTATTCTCAATGACTGTGCAATATTAAGGCTCCAGCTGGATTCTTTTCAAATGCAGTATTTAAATATGTCCCATTTGTATGTGGCTGATGTCAGCCAAAATGTTTAGAGAATGCTGAGACATGAAACAGCCTCTTATTCGAGAAGTAGAAAATCTGTGATGACTAGATACTTTCTAAAACATATTGTTTTGTAAATCCTAACCATTGGCTATCTAGTGAGTTAGTGAATGGCTGAATTCTCCTTAAAATGGGCAATAACCTAGAAAAAGTAAATATACCTGGTTTGACAGGGTTCAGTGGCAGCTGTGGCCTCACAGTATAGGAACTTTTAGAAAAGCAGACGACTCATTACTTCAACTGAGAAGAGGCAGATGAAGACCACTGAAGATCCCTGGACCTGCTACTGTTCTCTAGTCTGTTCCTAACACAACAGGCTTTAAACAACGTACTTAACAGAACCATCCCAGCTCCCCAGCCACAAAACATACTCGCTTCCCTGTACTGTTTTTGGGAATCTAGTCATGAGAAGCTCTACATAACACTGTGCAAGAAAAATCTAAGTGATGTTTATATTGGAACACCTTTCTTGGGCCAGTTATTGAGGAGAAATCACAAATATTGCTTAAAAAAAGATAAAGTGTGATTAACTTAGTTTTCAAATCCATGTCCTGAAAAGTAAATTTCATCTGAAATGTGGAAAGAACGTGATGGGTAATGCAGTAATGTAAGTAAGCAAGCAACTACTCAGCCTGCAAAGAGACTGTTGTTTCTTTACCTTGATAGAAGTCATGCACTTGGTTTCAACTGGGAAAAATGGCAGCTCTTCACTCTTCTCCAACGTTTTATAAATTTTTCTAAAATTGATTAAGTCATCAGGGCCGATCAGCAATAGGCTAAGGCCTTCATTGGCAGCTCGGGCTGTTCTGCCACTTCTGTGTACGTACAACTCAGACGTACGAGGGACCTGCAAATATTCAGAAAAACCATGAAGCTGGCCATGGAAAGCTAGCAGCAGCCTGTCATGCTTTGGCGAAGAGGTTGCCAGAGAATATTGTTTTTTATATATGCATGGTACATTGCATGTAACACAGCTGAAGGTAAAGTAAATGATGTCTGGAGACACTTTTTGTTCTCTGGTCCAGTATTCTTCCTTGCATAATCTTTTGTAAGTCTCTCCTAGCTTCTGACCCTCTGCCATTTCATTTGCAAAGCAGGAAAAAATAGTGTGTGTCCTCAGAGAAGAGTTATAGGGCTGAGTCATGTGACAACTCTGGATACCAAAGTTAAGCAAAAAGCAAGGAGAATTGCATCTGTTACATCATTTCTGATATATAATTCCACATTCATGAAGTGCTACCTGCCACAGTCAGTCACTGCAGCAAGAAGATCCTTAAGTACAAAGCATTACAGGACAGTTAAACTAATAATGATTAAATCTCTATACTTGGGACTATACTATACACAGGACCGAGAATCACAGCTTTATAGTGTTCAGGGTTTGGATCAGCAAACGCTTCTTTCAAAACCAAAACAGTAAAAACAAAAACGTTAAAAATATTTAACCTGGTAGTGGATGACATGCTGCACGTTGGGAATATCAAGACCACGAGCTGCAACATCTGTTGTCAGGAGGACACAGCTGAGAAAGTGATAACATTTAATGAACATAAAATTGAAGAGTAAACCATCTGCCAAGGAACATAAAATACAGCGACCTAGAATTCTACCACAGCAATCTAAGGAACAGATTTGTACTATATCATCTGCTGGAAATATGCTATTTGTTTGCCCTTACAGAAAACAATACCCAGTATTACATCAGAGGCAGTCTTGAAACAGCAATTCTTAAAATAAAAGAAAAAATGCAAATGTTACCTTCAGCAGGTCCATTCTGTTTCCAATAAAGAAATTCACTACCTTGCTGGATCCTGTTTTCCTATGCTTTTATTCTTTCCCAATTCACAGGAATGCTAGCGCAAATCGCTATTCAATGACCTAATCCAACCATTTGGCAGGGGGGTATGCTCCCCTTCATTACATTTCTCAGTGCTCTGCCCAGGCTGGGTTTGAAAATATCTTTAGCTTGGTATGACCAAACCACTAACAACACAGTTGATCTTTTGGCAGGACAGAAAGGTTATTACAAGTTTCACCAGAGAAGGCTCACATTATTAACATTATAGATTTAATTAACAGCTTTTTGAGGCTGAAATATCTTCTATCTTTGCACTCAAGTAAGTTCTCTCAGTAAATTAAAAGCTAGAAATATAAAGGGGAGGGATTCTGTTCTGACAATTAGTATTTCTCCTTACCCTTAGAAATGAAGAGCTACTCAAAAAAGTCATTCATTATTTATATAAACAGTCTACTACAGAGACAAAAGTCTCCCTAGGGTATGACAATTCCTTTCAAAAAAATCTCCCAGCAACTGAAATGAGTTACTTGTAGGTAAAGGGAATTTGTTAAGATTTTATGCCATCTGACTGCATACTCCATTGCTACAAGGTTCAAAGCAGAAATAAACAGAGAAAATTCTATGGTTTGCAATCTGCAGGAGGCCGTGATAGGTGGTCTAGAGACGACTTCTTGCCTTGAAAATTTGCAGTGTCTGAAAATGCCCTGTCTGGCCTAGGCTAATGCTATCGATACTACATTTTGCCAAGGGATGCTGCAGATCTATCACGGCAATTCAACCTGTTCTCCCTGCCCAAGTCTATTACCAAGGTACAGATTTCCACGCAGTCAGACAGCACGCAGCACTTCACAGCAGGACTAAACTGTGAGGCTTCTGGATTATGGAAGTACTGAGACTACCAACATCCTCACAAAGGCCATCCCAAAGCCAGCAGGAAACAGTAATTCCTAAAATGGCAGGACAGGCCTGTCTGGGTAAACCTGACTGCCCACGGCTGCTGAAAGGCACAACTGCCCCTTCTCTTGCGTTGTTCTAGGATACCTTGACCCTCAGGAAGCCAATTCATCTAACTAAACCTGCAAAACCCTAACCCAGCAAGAAGTGGTTAGTTTTATGATGGCTTGGTGAGATGAACCAACTTACAGAAGGATCAAATGAGCTGCAGAGCCAGGGCACAGGGGCAGAGAGGTGTGCAGGATGGTTATAAAAGCATATGGCTGAAAACAGGGCAAGTGACAGCTCCTTCAGCAGCAATGAGCTGCCAGACCACAGGATAATTCAGGCTCCAAGGGACCTCAGGAGGTCTCTAGTCGAACCGCCTCCTCAAAGCAGGGTTAGCTATAAGGTTGGACTAGGTTGCTCAGGGCTTTATCCAACTGATCCTTGAAAACTTCCAAGAATGAGCAGTCTGTTCGAATGCCTGACTGTCTTCACAGAGAAAAAGCTTTTTCTTATATCCAGCCTAAATCTCTCGTTTCAACTTGCACCTGTTATCCCGCATCCACCTACCACGCACCACTGTGAAGAGCTGGTTTCATCTTCTTGATAACCTTCTTTTAAGATATTGGAGGGCTGCCATTAGGTCTCCACAAAGTATTTTTCCCAGGTGATATAAACCCAGTGCCCTCAGCTTCTCCCCTTGCACAACAAGTGCTTCTTGACCATCTTGGTGGCCTTCCACTGAACTCGCTACAGTTCATCACCTCAACCATCCTGTGAAACCTCATCCTCAAGTGTTAATAGTCTGGGCTTATGAACTGGGGACTCGCATCCCCAGCTAACTCCCCCAACCTGCTCCTACTTTAACAGAGCTATTTCCTCTTCCCACTACACTTTACACGACTCCTTTTCTTCTCTACTAGGAACTAGAAAATCAACTCACCTCTCTCGCTCAGCAAACCTTTCCAGGTTTTTCAGCCTTTGCTTTTGGTGCATGTTGGCATGCAAAGGAAGAGGGTCGCAATTTAAGATTGAGAGGAGAGAACTGAGGCGTTTTACACAGTCTATGCTGTTTGCAAAGACCATGGTTCTTCCTGGATACTGGAGAAGAAAGTAATAGAGATAATAGTCCTTCTCATTTGTATTACAGTGGATTCTGGTTTCTGTCAGAGTCTCAACAGTAGCCTCTTTTCTTGTTAGGTCTATCACTTTGGGTTTGCCCTTTATTCCTACTTTTTCCATTAACAATTCTAGTTTGGTCTTCTTGTCCATCTTTTTAGCATTCTTTTTCTGTAAAACTCTTGTGGGAGTCTGATGGACTAAAGTCAAAGTGGCAGAAAAAACAAAAGTCTGTCGTTGAGGGTTATACTGTGAATCATTTAAGATTTCCAGCAACTGAGACAGCTCTAAGAAGTGACCTTTCTCAACCATTCGGTCTGCTTCATCAATCACAAGGCACCTGTCAAACAGAAAACACACAGTAAAAATACACTTGTGCAGATAAATACCAATCTGATATACTTCAAAAGAACTTTTCCTGCTAAACGCATAAGGGAAGTTCTCCATGTAAAACCCAAAGGAACACCAGGTATGCCAGGGTAGCTACAGCAGCCTTCCACATTTCTGTTTGAAAAATCAGATTTCTAAAACAAAAACGAGGTTTCTGCTACTGGCTTTACTTGACATTTCCTTCCATCAATAGAACCACTATGCATTTCAATAAAACACTCTGGCAAAGAAAACAGTGAACTTACATAGTCTAAATTATTTAATCAGTTAGTAAACATAATCAGTATGCAGTGACGCCCTGTTCAGTATCCAGCAGTTAGTCTAAAAGGCACCTTTACCTGAGCTGCCGAAGATTTGAAAGATGTGGGTGTCTCTCTTTAACTAACTCCCACAGACGGCCTGGGGTTGCAATTACAATTTCTGGCTTTCGATTCAGTACACGTTCTTGCTTCTGTGCAGCCATACCTCCAACTAGAATTGCAGTCTTAATGCCTAGAACACATAAATAGTAGTTTTTATCCCACTAATTTATCAGTGAATGTCTTTACATGCATCCACTCGAAGTATTTTAAAAAGTCTATACTGCAACTTTCAGCAAGCATTTTGGCCAGGAAACCTCAGGGTTTTTATATAACACTGAACATGCAGCAATGCCCTCAATTTTACAGAAAAATCCTCATTATAGTTAGACGACAAAAAAAAGTAGTCTTTCTTTTAGTGCACCTGTCTTCCAATAGGAATAAGAATCACGTATGTCCTCCACAGCTGTTAGCTTTGTTTACCCGTACTTCAGAATCTCATGTTTTGTCAATTATATCTGCATGAACAAGCATGTTCCTGTTATGAATAACCAGCAGGACCCTCCAAGAATGGGACTGAGAAATGCTTGTCTTGCTAATAACTGCTCATTTGCTATGGAATAATCCTAACAAGAATGTTCCCTCCCAACTAATGATTCTCTGGACTGCGCAGTAGCACAGAGACCCTCAGTTAGCTTTAAGCAGTTTGCTCAGGTGCAAAAAGGAGTTTAGCTTTGGAAGCACAGACTCCACATGGCTTATTTCACCCTACTTCTTCAAAGAATATACTGGCCCACGACAAACTCAATGCTACTGTGCAAGATTCCTCCAGTATCCAAGCTACCACAGATCTCTCCTACCTAATACTTGTGGAACCCCATGCTTCCAGGTGGGGATTTTTTCAAAGTGAGTTTGAGACAATAAAGAAAGCCCACATCAAAACATATTTTCCCTCCTGCTGCAGCAACTATACGTCGCTTGGGCAGCAGATTTTTACACTGCTCTTATCAGAACTGTACTGACATAAATTGATTATTTCAGGCTAGGAGTTAAAATTAGCCTTGTAATCAGCTATAGACTGATAAGCGCAGCAGGATGTATAGACACCAAAGGAAGATGTGCTTAAAAGCAGTTCACTGCGCTACATATCCTCTTCAATAAATAAACAATTACTATCCTTGGAGAAGTGGGGAGTTGTTTCCCAATTCTCCCCATCTTGAACAGTTTCACATCCTCAGTCATTCACTTAACAGATGTGCTGACCTCTGGTTTGGAAGAGAAAGGAACAGGATGGACTTGCTTTCATCAGGCATGCTACCCAGCAATATGCTGTGGCCTGACTGCTGTGGGAGGTAAGTCAGACAACCCAGCAATGCCTTCTAATTTAAAAATGTATGGTCATAATTTCTTTTTTTGATAGACAAAGCAAAATGATATATATAGATATATCTACCTCTATCTATTATCTATATAGATTGATATATCTGTCAAAAAAGGAAATTATG